GGTTAAGGTAGATTATCATTTACAGTGTAATCAGTGAGGGGATTCTGCAGACTGTTGAGGGTGCAGCCTCCTGATGAGTCGGTGAAACTCCGACGAAACAGTTTGTCACAGCCCCTCGTTTGTTGTCCTCTTCTCTCTCTCTCTGCCTACGGTTTACCCGGCAGTTCTGTTTGTGACGATATATATGTATATATATATATATATATATCGTCACAAACAGAACTGCCCAGTAATATATATATAAAATACGTACGCCTCGGTATTTACATGTGTGCGTACGCGCGCGCCTGCGTGTGTGTGTGTGTTGCCATATTCGCGCTGTACAAATAAAAGCACGCGTGCCAGACTCTCACGTCGTAGTTTCCCCGACTCATCAGGAGGTATGGATGAGAACTCAACCATGCAGCCCCTCCACGCCCCGCGCCCACCTCTCCCCCCTCTCCCCCCTGGCCGATACACACACACACACACACACACACACACTCAGAGAGAGAGAGAGAGAGAGAGAGAGAGAGAGAGAGAGAGAGAGAGAGAGAGAGAGAGAGAGAGCTTTCTGTTCCACATGCACACTAACGATCCAAGTAGCTCATGACGTGAGCTGTCGAGAGCCTGCACACAGGGACGAACGGGCGTCACACGTCGACTTCGTGCCGCTAGTGCAGGTACATGGAGGCGGTAGGGTGTGAACGCACCCGGACGTGTGTCTGTGTGTGTGTGCGCGGGCGTGGTGTGCGAGTTTGTGCATGAAAGAGAGGAGGGGTGGGGAGGGAGAACTCTTCTCACCCACGGGCCACTCTCTCGGAGGGAGCATTCTTCTCACCCACGGGCCTCTCTCTCTCTCTCTCTCTCTCTCTCTCTCTCTCTCACTTCTGTCCACTGTCCTTCGTCTTTCTCTTTCTCGCGACGACCTTGTGCGAATGATTCATCTAGCCGTATTTTTTTATTTTTTTTTTCCCGATGGACCACGGATCAGAACAGATGCTACACTTGATCTTAGCCAAAAGGCCGAGAAAGGTATTCTCTAGCCGTAATTGAACACAGGTATGTTCGCAGCCGGGAACGAGGGTAAGAGGGCGTCGCAGGGACCTGGGGAAGGGTGACAGACGGATCTAGCTCATCACCGAGGTGAGGTAATCGCTGATTAGACAGTAGACCCCGACTGATGACTGAGGCTAATATCTTTTTTTTTTTTTCTTTTTTTTTTTTGAAACTATGTTCTGCTCTCAATTTCAGCAGTGTGAGTTGAAAATTGAGAGGCTAGATTTGGGAACGAGGGAGGCGCGACCTTGCTTCGGCCGGCGCTGTGCGCTCTGCCAAGCGGTACAGGGTCGGCAAAACCCGAGCTGTCTTCCGGGACGCTACCGACGTGATAGCACTCCGGAGTCTACCTACCAATCGCCCCCTTCGAAGGGCGGATATGGCGATACACTAGCCATAGGTACAGGAAGACGGACAGAGGGAGCGACCTCCCCTCCCCACGAATGAAGATGCGACTACTTGAAGAACTGGAAGACTTTCGCGGTATCAAGAGAAGAGGGTAGGATAGCTATAAGCACAAGACGAGTCAAGGTAGAAGACATTTGGTATCAAGAGAGAGGAGTACCAGCACAAACAGACGATGGCGTCAACACCCGGGGGGGCGGGAGGGGGAGGCTCAGGGAGGTCTCCGCCCGTTGCCCCACAAGCAGAGATCGACTACTGGGAAGATGAAGACAGGATTCGAGGGCTGCTCCAGATGTGCTTTGATGAAGGTGTGTACCCGACGGAGATTGACCCAGGAGAGATGACGATAGAAGGGAGGGAAGTGAGATTCAAGTTGAACACCTCACTCGATGAAATTAAAGTACAATGGTTAAAAGAGCGTACAGTGTCCGTCATCTATAAAGACGCTGCCAGATTTCTACCCAAGAACATCAAGGATGATCTGGTTAGGGCCTTTGAGGATGGCTGGGTTTTGGGAAATGAGAGATTAGGGGGAAACATGAGAAGATGAAGAGTGAA